AATTCAGACTTGTTGAGTGTTCATTATAGAAAGTCATTAATGCAAAATGGGCATATATCTTCAATGATGTTTATATATATATATATATATATATCTGAATACATCAGAATGACTACAACAACATTAACGAGAAGACTCACTATGCATATGCAACATGGAGCAATGAAAGGCCACATAATGGAACAGCACAACACTATTATTACAAGGGAAATTTTAGATAATAACACGAAAGCAATTTATTACAACAGAGAATACTTCAAATTTAAGATAGCAGAATCAATTTTCATAGATAAACGTAAAGCAGCAATAAATATTCAACTAAATAATACCAACATTTTTTCAACAAGGAAACACATGATTAACTTTAATTCTAATTAAGTTACAATCAAAGTCGCAGTGAAAACAAAGACACAAAGACGGATTATATGTATATATATATGTATATATATATATATATATATATATATATATATTTACAATATTCTATAAATTCTACCGAATGTTTGGCGTTAATATGTTTGCAGTTCGTGTATATATGTATGTATATATATATATATATATATATATATATATATATATATATATATATATATATATATATATATATATATATATATATATATATATATATTACAATATTCTATAAATTCTACTGAATTTTTCGATTTTTTTCACTAAAGTTTTTTGGAGAAAGTTTAGTTTATTGAAATTCAAAATAAACTTATTTTCCGAATTCATGCTGCTAATAAAGCCATATTTCGAATCCGAATGAATCATCGTCAGTGCAGGTTGATTTATATAGGGAAATATTCACTTTGTGAAAATGAACATAGATGGAAATTAGGTGTCAGATTTCTTTATTGACTGGTCCGTCTATGTTGATTTCCTTTTCTTCATCAATAGCATCATATTCTTCTTTGTCACTATTTACAAAGCTCAATTGTCAATATTTACAATCATAGTTTTTATTTCCTCTTTGTTTTCATAGTTGATAATTTTAATAAACTAAACGTTCTCCAAGAAACTTTAGTAAGAAAAATCGAAAAAACGAACTACAAACATATTAACGCCAAACATTCGGTAAAATATATAGAATTATGTAAAATTATTGTCTATTACCAACATTTATATATATATATATATATATATATATATATATATATATATATATATATTAA